CTTTTTAAGAAGTTGATCTTAAGACCAGACATCAGTTCGAAAAGGTAAAGAAGAAGTTTAAGATTGACGGCTTTGTCAATATCATCTTCGATACAGATAACCGTGTCATCTGCGTACTGGAGCACTGCCACCCCATTAGGAACCAAATCAGAAGCCAGCCCTCTAAAAAGATTGTTTTTCTGGGCATTCAAAATCATTTTAGTCAAACATTCAGCTGCAAGATTGAAAAGGAAGGGAGACATTGGATCCCCTTGTCGAACCCCTTTGTGGCTCTGGAAGTAAGGCCCCGTGGTATTGGTAATTTTAACACTAACTGTGCCATTGTGGAGGATTCTCTCCACCCACTCGCACCATTTGGGATCGAATCCCCTCATTTTATGACATTCAAGCAAAAACTCCCAATTAACCTTATCGTACGCCTTCTCAAAGTCAAGTTTCAAAACAATCCCCATTTTTTTCTTGACTTGAGTGTGATGGAGAATTTCATGCAGGGTCAAGATTCCATCCATAATGTTCCGTTTCTTGATGAAGGCATTTTGGTGGCGACTAAAAGGTTTGTCAGCAAACACCGCAACCCTATTGTCCAAGACTTTTGTGATAAGTTTGTAAGGGCATCTCAAAAGACAAATAGGTCGGAACTCCTGAATTTTTTTGGCCCCGTTGATTTTAGGAATTAGGGTAATAGTCCCATAATTCAGTCTCTCCACGTCCAGAGTTCCTCCATGAAAGGCCCTAAACAAGTTCATAGTATCCTCTTTAACAATGTCCCAACAGAATATGTAAAATTCCGCTGGTATGTTATCTGGCCCAGGAGCTCTATTGCTATCCATAGAGAAAAGGGCCTTTTTCACTTCTTCCTCACTAAATGGCCTGGTCAGGAATTCATTATCCTCGGCCGTAAGCTTTTCATTCTCCCCCCAGGTATCAGGATCTAGATGAAAAAGATTCCCTGGGGCCGGGCCAAAAAGCTCCTTATAAAAGTCTGTGGCGTGTTTGAGTAAGTTATCAGTCCCCTCAATAGTAGTATCACCACAAGAGAAGGAGTGAATGGTATTTTTCCGCTTTTTTCCATTGGCAATCCTATGGTAGAAAGCAGTGTTTTGGTCTCCTTTCAACGGCCATGTCTCGTGGGATTGTTGGAGCCAGTATAGCTCCTCATTAACCATGAGCTGTTGTAGCTCTCCACTAAGGGAAGCTCTTTTTTCTAGGATATCAGGGTCGAGAGGGCCTTGTTCTTCCATAGACTCTATGAAAGCAAGCTCATCCTTGATCCCCTTCTTTCTTTTCTTAACATGTTCGAACTTATCCGAGCCCCGGCCCTTAAAAAAGTTTTTAAAACGTTTAAGCTTGATATTGAGGACATCAATAGGGTCTGAAGACTTAACTGGCCTCTGCCAAATTTTATTAACTAAAGGGAGGAATTCCTCATTAGCCATCCAGCTCATCTCAAACCTAAATTCCCTAGGCTAAGGTGGCTGGTGTTTAAGGCTATTAGTGGACATGAAGGAGGGGATTATGGTCAGATACATCTCTAACCAGTTTCCTGGCCGTAACCAAGGGGAATAGATCTTCCCAGTCATAGCTCATGAGAATTTTGTCCAATTTTTCCAATGTGGGGTGAGCTTGATTATTGGACCATGTGAACATCCCCCCCTCCACAAAAATCTCGCGGAGACACATAGTGTTAATGATGGCATTAAATCTGTCAACATACTGGGAGGTCATCATTTTTTTTGTTTTTCTCTCCACAGTGTCTGAGGATGTTGAAATCACCACCCACAATGTAAGGTATGGATAAATGACTACAAAAACTAGCCAACTCCACAAGAAACTCTTCCTTCTGCTCATCATGAGCCGCACCATAGACATTTAGAAGGGCCCAAACACATTGTTTAGCAACACAAAAAATAATAACTTGGAGGATAAATTTTCCTAGGGACCAAGAGACAATCTCCAATTTGTCCCTCTTGACCCCACAAAGTAAGCCCCCAGCCTTGCCAATAGAAGGTATCCAATTCCAGTCAAAAGTACTGTAGGGATCAATTTTCCTAAAGAAGCTAGGGGAGAATTTGTTGGAAATATGCCCTAGAGGCAATAATAAAAGTATTATTATATTTCATTGTTCATGATAATTGTCTTTTATTCATGCTATAACTGTATTATCCGGAAATCGTAATACACGTGTGAATACTTAGACCACACTATGTCCCTGGTAAGCCTCTAGTTGACCAGCTTGTTGTGATCAACAGATAGTCATGGTTTCCTGACTATGGACATTGGATGTCGTTGATAACGGGATCACATCATTAGGAGAATGATGTGATGGACAAGACCCAATCCTAAGCATAGCATAAAAGATCGTGTAGTTCGT